AGACATTGCCCTTTGATCTATCTGTCATTTCATTTCTGTTCATCGCCATCCCTCTTTCCCACCATCCCCACCCTTCCCAGTCTCCATTACTCTTCATTTGTTCCACTTCTGTGACATCATTTTTTTCCATTTACACATATAAATGAGAGCTTGGGGGCATTTCTCTGTCTGTGTCTTATTTCACTTGCTGTAATGTCCTCCAAGCATGCCTATTTCATCTCGATTGACAGGAATTCATCCTTTTTAGTGGCCCAATAGTATTCCACCATGTATACATGCTACATTTCCTTATCCATTTGTCTGTTAATGGACACTTAAGTGGCTTCCGTATCTTGGCTAGTGGTACAATAAGCGCTAGGGCACAGATATCTTTGTGGCATGCTCATTTCCTTTCCTTTGGATATATATACTCAGTCGTGGGATTGCTGGATCATACAGCAATTCTACTTTAAATTTTTTGAGGCATTTTCATACTGTTGTCCATAATGATGATATTAGCATTCCCACTGATGCTATAAAAGTGTCCTTTCTCTGCATCCTCACCAGTACTTGCTATTTTTCTATCTTTTTGATAGTAGCCATTCTAACTGGAGTGAGATAATCTCTCTCTCTCTTTTTTAAGAGAGATTTTTGTTATAGGATGTGTGTGCTCACCAGAGAGACAGGGAGCGGGGGGGATGGCCATGCCACAATCCCTTCTCTTCCATTCTCCTCTTGGGATATTGGGCACGCACGCACACACGCCCGGTGAGGGTTTTAAGCCATGGGGTGATCCAAGACGAACCACAGGACTATGTGGGAGTCCAGTGATGTAACCATTCTGCCATCTGCTGGTCCCTCATTGTGGTTTTGATTCGTATCTCCCTAATGATTAGTGATGCCAAACATTTTTTCTTATGTCTGTTGGCCATTTATATGTCTTCTTTTTAGAATTGTTTATTCAGGACATTTGCTTTTTTTTTTTTTCCAATTGATATAGGGCATGTGCACTCACCAGAGAGAGACAGAGAGGAGAGAGAGAAAGAGAAAAAGCATCCTCAGGGAGATGGCAACACCACAGTCCTTTCTCCTCCATTCTCCATTCTTCGATTTGAAGCACTCATGCCCAGCATGTTTTTCAAGCCAAGGGATCAAGGACACAAACTACACTGTTGGCCATGTGGGATCCAACACCTTAGCCATCATGCCACCAACTGGCCCCATTTGCCCATTTTTAAATTATTTGGGTTTTTTTTTTGCTGCGGAGTTGTTTGAGTTTCTAGTTATTAATCCTTTGTCAGACGTATAGTATGTAAATATTTTCTGTCATTCTGTGGGTTATCTCTTCACTGCTGATAGTTTCCTTTGCTGGGCAGAAGCTTTTTCTTTTGATCCAGTCCCATTTGTCTATTTTTGCTTTTGCTTCCTATGTTTTCAAAGTTTTAGTCAGTAACTGACTATACCAATGTCCTGAAGTGTTTCCCCTACATTTCCTTCTGGTACTTTTATCCATTTGATTTTCATATATTGTGAGAGATGTAAGTCTGGATTCAGTTTTCTGCACATGGATGTCCAGTTTCCCCAGAACCATTTATTGACGCAACTGTCTTTCCCCTAACATGGTCTTGGCACCTTTGTAAAAAATCAGCTGTCCATATACATGTGGATTTATATCTGGGTTCTCTGTTCTGTTCCATTAGTCTGTGTCTGTTTTTGTTGTTGGTGGTGTTTTTTGGCAAGTACCATGCTGTTTTTGTTGCCTTGGCTTTATAGTATGTTTTGAAATACATAGTACGCACTATGCCTACAGCTCCATTCCTTTGGCTCAGCATTGCTTCAGCTATGTAAAGTCTTTTGTGATTCCATGAAGATTTTACAGTTGATTTTGCATTTCCATGAAGAATGTCATTGGCATTTTGATAGGCATTGCATTGAATCTATAGACTGTTTTTGCATTGATTCTTCCAATGCATGAGCATGGGATGTCTTTCCACTTTTCTGTTCTCAAGTTTTTCAATCAGTGGTTTAAAGTTCGTTATCTCCTTGGTTAAATTTCTTTTCTTTGCAGTTATTATAAATTGATTTAAAAAGATTTTCCCCACTATTTCATTATTGGTGTATAAATATGCTACTGATTTTTTATGTTGGCTTTGTATCCTGCAACTCAAATTAATTCATTTATCGGTTCTAAGAGTTGTTTTATGGCATCTGTAGAGTTCTCCATATGTAAGATATTGTTTACAGAGACAGTTTGACCTCCTCCTCTCCAACTTGGATATCCTTTCTTTCTCTTGACTAATTGCTCTGGCTAAAATTTCCAGAGGTAGAGAAATCTTGGAGAAAGCGGACTCTGAATGAAGCTATCTAGTGCCTGTTAAGGGGCATGCCCTTCCTTTGGGAACCCCACAGCACCCAATATGGAAGCCTAGCACTTCTCACACCAGAGAGCATTGATGAGATTAAAGGTTCTGTCTACCCACTGGACAGTGATTTCCAGAGGCCAGGGCCATGACTTACTCAACCAGCAAACGTATGTAAAACTCCTGTCATGTACCACGTGCTGGTGGGGTGAATGGTCAGCTAGACCACATCGCTGCCCATGGCGCTGAGTCTGTGAGCTGAATCTCCTTCGTGTCCCCATCACCTGTCCAGTCCAAGGACATAACAGATTCTCAGGTGAGTGTTCCCTCTCCAGTCACAAGATCTTCAAAGGAAAGATGTGAAGTTATTCCACTGAGAAGCATCTTCTCATTTCTTCAAAGAGGCTCAAAAGTGTAGACAATAAACGTCAAGTCCTTTCCTGCTGGTGCCGCACATGGATATGGATAGCAGGAGTCGTACCCGAGTACACCAGAGACAAAGGGGAGGTCACATGACTGTGTCCCTGTCCAATACTCATCACCCTGTGGGGTGTGCAAAAGGCAGGGTTGATAGGTTAACAAAACCTCCCCAAATCACTACTAAGGAACAGAGCTGGGATTTAAATTCAGGTCTGTCTGACTCTCGAGTCCCTTCCAGCAAGCACACTGCCGACAAGCCTCCATCTCCATCTTCCATTTGCTTGGAGACTACTCTGTCAGAGCTGTGGCCTGGGATGACTTAAGCCCTGCCCATTCAGGCAGAGTTCTAGGGGCAGGAAGGCTGCTGCTGAGGATGCGAGCGGCTCTCCCAGGCTTCCCATGGTGCCCCTGACCATGCTGCCCTGCCATGGGTCTCCTGCCTCCCCCTTCCCTCCTCTGCACAAGCTGGTGCCTGCCCCCATCTGATACCCTCTCCAGCACCACAGAAGGTGGTAGAGAGCAGGCAAATGTTATTAACCAATCCGGCCCCTTGTTGGTTCCTTCAGAGCCAGCCTCTTGCTAGAGCTGGGTCCCCAATGATGAGCCCTGGGTGAGTCCAGCTGGATTGAGTGCCTCTCAGTGAACTGAAGGTCATGGCACCACCCCGAGTGGGAGTCAAGAGCAAGGAACACCAACTCTCCCCCAAACCTGGCAGCCTTCACTCCTCTCTCCAGCCGGCGAGAGGCCTGGGATGTGACCAGCCCACTCCTGTGAGCATGATACATCTCTGCCCAGCTGATGATCCCTGCCCCCAGTGTCAGAGGGGCTGGCCACAGGGGTGGGGATGGGGGGTGGAGGGGCTGGTTCCACTTCGGGCCTGGCCAGAACCCTTCAGCTTGCCTCTGTCCTGATGGGACAAATCTGACCTCAACTGTTGTCTAGCAGTGGAACCAGCATCTGGTCACGTCCTCTGAAGTGACCCCTCTTGGTGGCTTTTGTCTGACCTGTCTGTGGGTCCTCAACACTAGTCAAACAATGAACCCACAGTATTACATCAGAGAATGAACATTTGGGGGGTGAATGAGCACATCAGTCAAGAAGAGGCGAGAGCATTCACGGATTGGACTGTTTACTACATTATTTGTCGGCTGTACATATAGATGTATCTGAGTCACTTAAGTCACACAATTACAGACACAAACACAAGTGCACCCCTGTGCCCATGGGGAACACTCAAGTCCCAGCGTGGCTGCTCTGTGTGTCTCCTGTTGCTACTCCCATGCTGACCCATTCTCCTAGATCCCCTTTCCTCTCTATCTCTTCCATTCTTCCTTGATGGTGGCAAAGCAGGAAAGGGCCACTCAGGACAGATCGCAGGCTCCTGGCCACCAGGTCATGCCAGTGAACGCTGTCACCGTGGTGGTCTTCCCTGTTCACTACATCGAGGACGCTATAAACCCCTTCAAGGCCAGGAAGGAGCTTCCACCTCCCTAGTCAGGGAGGGATGGTGGGCAGGAAGGGCAGTCACTTGGCAGGCTGCTGGGCATGGCACAGCTGTGGGGACACCAGGGTACAAGCAGGGACAGGACAAGCTCGCAAACACATAGCTAAGACCCAGCTGGTGTGTGCTGGAGCAGAGCTGTAGGGCACCCTGGGAGCGGAGGAGGGAGGGCGCAGGACGGCTTCCGCAGAGGGTCTGTTTACGGGCACCGCGTGGACCATGTTCCATGGCAGGCACTTCAACTCCATCTCATTTAATCCTCACAAAGAATGAAACTGAACTCAAAGGCAATACCCTTGAAGAGCCACCGAGCTGAGATTCAAATCCAGATCTGCCGGGTTCTGAAACGCATGCTCCTTGCCCTGTACAGCTTGCCACGTGGGGGAACGTCTGCTCTGGGACTCAAAGACTGGTAAAGAGACCTCCAGAATAAATTAATCATCTTCAGAGCAAAGTAAAAAAACAAGAAAACAAAAATAAAAAATGCACAGAAAAGGCAGAAAAACACCACGTTCTCCCCAAACTTCACATTGTTACTGGCTGGAAGAGCAAACATAAAGGATGCTGGGAACAT